TTCTCCTTCTCCTTCTCCTTCTCCTTCTCCTTCTCCTTCTCCTTCTCCTTCTCCTTCTCCTTCTCCTCTTTCTTGTTCCTTCTGCCTTTCATTTAAAACAATAACATGTTTTGAAGGTTGAATATTGATGAAAAATTGAAATAGTACAATGGCTAGAATTTATTCTAGCAAGAGGATATATTCAGGAGAACATATACAATTTAAACATGACATTTTCCAGATGTGTTGAAATTGGAGCTTCAAGATTCCCCAATATATTTGGACAGCATTAGGTTGACAAAAGTTGCCTTAAACCGTCCTTTCCAGGAAGGCTCATTATAGTCACATAATATCAAAATCATGCTTATCCTATGCTACATTCCTGTGACATGTTTAGAAGATAACATATATCATATAGAACTGCAGATTTTTTTAAAAAGTACTGATTAACAAATGATTAGCATTATCAGATAGAAAGTTAGACAGATTAATACATGAATTGTAAAATTGTGTATCAAAATAATGCCCTTCAGTAGGTATGGAAAGGATTGTAGCCACAGTTGTCTGTATTACAACTGAAAAATCAATTAATTTAATTACTCTAAATATTTCCATGAGTTGATTTTCTATGTCCTTATTGAGTTATTAAAGAATTACTGAATTTACTTAGAATCATTAAGCAAAGGTATATTTAGTGAATTATTTTCTTTAAACTAATTGATAAGTTACTTTCCCAACAGTTTCCACAAATAACATTAAAACTATAGTAGTAATTTTGTACTATACACAGACACGCAAAGGATCCTCAGTGAAGATAGTAGGAAGCAAGGCAGAAGGCACTCTGTAAGGATAGCACCTGGAATAAGGCCTCGGATTAACTCCAAGCCTACCTGCTGACTGTGTTTCTCTACCTATTATAATAAAAGAAAGATGAAGATGATCTCACTGCAACACCAAGTGCCTTATGTAACCGAATCTATATAGGTACCCACATTCTATAATAATGTGATGAATTCCACTGTCTCTAGAGAACCAGGCTTAAGAGACCTTTCCTGATTTTGCAATCTCAGGTTTCTGCAAGGGTAAGAAGATACAGATTCTACTGAATTATGAATTGGAGCATGAAGCAAGACTGTACCCTGTGGCCAAAAGTGTCCTGAATATGGGACTCACCTTCCCATGAAAACTCCTTATTCAAATCATCTGCTCCTACTTTAACGGGCAATAGGTCATCATAGAAATCCTAGCATCCAGGTCATTTCCTATAAAGCAAGAAATCAAAACAGTTTTAGAGAGAGATTATTCCAAGTCTCAGCTCACAGGAGCAATGGATTTGCTTTTAGGGCATGCTAAGCTATTGCATTAATTTATGAGAATGAAAGCAGAATCTGGCTTGCCAAATGATGAAATTCAGACAGAGAGATGCATTTTCTTATGTTTCAAGATATATGTAAAGTTTGAAATGTGTCCAATAGCAAATTTGCAGCTAGCATAAAAACCACAGAAAGGCTGCATTTGATTATGTCTTTTATGTTAACTTAAGGATAAGGATTAGTATGCAAGGTTTGAAGGCCCCTGCTACAAAGTTCAGTTCTCAAAGCCTCCTCTCCTACTCATCAGAAACTGCAGGAACATCTGAAATCATTATTCTCCCTGAACCTACCTCTTTGGATGCTTGCAAGTACAGTCCAGTTTGGACATCCAGTGGTACTCTTCAAGGAAGGGAATGCATAGTGGAAGAACTATTTGCATGTAATCCAAATGAAGTACTTGCAAACTTGGCTCTGTCAGAGAAGACCTGCTTGAAAGCCATCCTTATATTTTGAAACAGCCCTCCCTGGGAGCCAAATGCTGTAATTGGAGGAGATTGAATTTTGGCCCCTGTTTCCATATCATCCAGCTCACTCGAGTGTAAGTGTGGGACAGATTTCTCACTTGAGTTAATATCACTAATTGAAGCTTCCTAGTCATCTTAAAGTCTTTCCTCATAAAATGCAGTACCAGTAGACCAAGTATGAAAACTGCAGACTTTGTACTAATATCTCTGGCCTCTGAGATCAGAGGCATAATGTCCTAGAGGCATATATTATAAATAAATACTGTGCATACATAAATATTTAGTCCATATTTTAACATCCTGGGTGATGGACAGATTATCTGTTAATCACAGTGAAGACTTGTTTGATTATATATACTCGTAGATGGGCTTGATCAGATACTATCCACCAGTCTTGGATTATTAAGAATGTACACTTGCAGTGTTACATGCACATACATTTGTTTCCCCTAAAGCCATTTCTAATAGTAAAGAGCAGATTTTGACAACATTTAAATTTGGAAGCTGGCAAAAGAAAATGATTTCCTTCTATCAGCCATTTGGTCCTGTTTTACTTTGCACCTCCTGCTGGTTTTTCATGCTATGCTGAGGTGTTGGTTTCGCATTTAGCTTATATCCTAAGTGTGCAGGACCTGTCTTCACTGTCCTTAATCCTGTGAATTAGTCCTTTGAAACTGTGATCAAATGGCATTATCAGCTGAACCACTGAAATGAATCAAGATGCATTGGAGGGTGTCCTTAATGGGAATACTTGTAACTATGCTGAGGTTTGTCATCGCCCTGATGCAGCACTAGTGTGGACTTAGACTCTGTCTTACTTTTTAATAAGCAAGGAATTATAGTCACCCCTACTTAGAAAGCAATGGAGAGGAACTCCTATGAAGTTCCAGAAGAGATTATTCTCAATAATCTGTGCTAGCCTTTGGTTCAGGCCTCTTTATCTCAAAACAAAATTTTCTGCACTGTCCTCAGAGCCTTATGGGATCCAGGTGTTGTAAAAGTCTCTAAAACTGGCAATTTTAACTGTTCCCACACCTCAGTGGAATTGGGCAACAAGATTAATCCATATACGTGCATTTCCCTCTGGGAAATCTTTTGAGGACTGGAAGAGCTTTGGGTTGTAAACAGGCACATTCAGAGCTATCAGCTATGGATGATGGAACCAGGATACCTCATGAGTTGCCCCTTTGGTGTATATCGTGCCTAGTTCAGTTAAAATGGCTGATGAATTCTTTTTCTAACTGTATCTTGACAATCACAGTAACCCGTAGAGCTAATTTCTTGATGTTAAGAAAAGTTAATGTAATGGCTGAGGTGATGGGTTTAAGAAGGAAATTTGCCAGTCTGTTATACCTTACAAGACTGATGTGTGTACTGTATATCTTTTATCACAGAAAGTAGGAGAAAAAAATCTGTTGTATTCTTCATATCATCATTATATATTGTCATAATCCAGTAAGAGTTAGAAATGTTTAATGTCTGAAATGAATGGAGTTAGAAATGTGTGTACTTCTTTTTATAACCATCAAACTCTGTAAATTCCTTTATTGCACTGATTAGAGAAAAGAGGAAGTTATAACTTATTCTGGATCTGAAAAGCCTTCTTTATCAGAGTTCCAGTGAAAAAAAATATCATCTTTTTGGTAAAGTGAAAGGAGTATCAGGAGCCATGTTGTCAGAGTCTTTACACTCAATTCCCAAGTTCAGTAAACCCTCTGGAGTCTATTTGTTTCCATCAAGGGTTTCTTTATTGAGAAGCAGCATGCAGCATTCTATAGGTTGTTGAGTCTGGTTTTCCCTAGCCTAAAGCTTTCCTTTTAACTCCTTTCCCCCCCCCTCTACTTTTCCCACTTGAATTTCTTCGTGCCTCTTCCCGAGTCTCATGGCTGCTTGACCTTGCTGGCCCCTCCAACCAAGATAACGGTTGCACCTGGCTCTTGTTGTTTTATTTCCCCCCTCCTCCTGACTTTTATGGCAGGGAAACACAAAAGGTGTTAAAAAAATAATTATTTT